GATATTTGTTATTCATTTACTATTACCTTTTTCCGTGTCTTCATACAGGCGTGATTGTGATAAAGTTATTGTGATTATTCGACGGACTGAATTATATCGTCTAAGTTTTATTTCCAGCCCTCCGGCTAACAGTATACATAGAATTAGTTTAAATTCATAATTTTTAAGAATCAAAAATTCTATCTTAGCACTCATATTCAAAAACTTGGAAGTCATCGACTATAATTTACAAATTTAAACATTTTTATATTATTTACTGACAGTATATGAATACTGCGTCGTTCATATTTACCTCATATCACGAAAATTTTATACGAGTTAATACCAAGCCTTAATAGATGGAATATCTTCCAGAACTTTAGATTCAGATCATCGTTATCGAAACTAACTCGTTATCTCATATTTTCTCTTTAAATTATCCGCTATTCTAAAATCAATAATTTGATCAAAATTTACATTTATACGACAATTTTTTACGCACACGAAATTCGAAATTAAAAATTCAAAATGGAACAATAATTATTTTATTATAAATGGCAAATACAATAAAAATCATGGTTGTCAAAAATTTAATTGATATTTCAACATTAAATTAGGGTTTCGTCCTAAATACCGAAGCTTATATTCACAGCATTATATAATCCCGAATAACAAATTCCCGTAAAAGAAAAACCCGAACCCATATAGAAATTATTGCATTTAGGGTTATTATTAGGGTTAGGGTGGTTATCTTAGGTTGTTTTGTCCACTATGTCCACTACGAGGCTAGGGTTTGAAATTAGGGTTATGTTTAGGTTATGTTAAGTTTAGTTAGTTATTTTATTAGTAATGGACTTCCTTTGGATGATGAACAAATATTTTGCGAAATTGATTTGTACTAGTCGGGATGTTTTATTTCGCGAGATTAGTAACTTTGGGATTTCGTAAATTAACAGAATTACATATTAAAGCTATTAGAAAAATCGTTAACCAAAATAGATGAATCATTCTTTAGTCATTAAATTAGCCTCAAAAATAACTTGATACGAAGGTTTAATAAAACCGGATATAATAAATTCATAGGTTTGAATATATACGGATATGATTTTTGTGTTGGCAAATTTTGATCCGGTATTCACCTAGAATTGAAGTTAACGAATGATACAATATGGGAATATTGCCAGTTAAATCACTTGCGAATCATATGATTTACTATATCTTATGACTTGATTTTACTGGAAACGATATTACGGAGTTCTTACTAAAGGGAATAGATCACTAACTATGATATTTATTACAATTCCATTGTGTAGTTGGTTTTCACATGCATGCGGAGTCCATATGAAGACAAAAGGAAGGTTTGAAAGTGTAAAGGTACAATATTTTATTAAACGCCTGTAAGTCCATCATCAAGACTTTACCACGATTGGACTCTGGTTTTTATCATTATTTTTCGAGCGTAAATACTGTATACTTTTTTTAGATACTACGCATATAGTGTTATAACAAGAATACATATAAACTCACAATAATACAAACAATCAATATTAAATAACCTATTTTAAAAATAAAACTAATTAAAATGATGTCTAATGATAATTTTATTACATGTCTACCAAATAAAACATTGTTGCTATGTATGACATTAACTGCAGTACTGCGGTTAATCTCCGACGTAGCAATTGAAAGTTAACACCGGTTTCAAATCTAACCAGGGGAACCGGATTTAAATCCAAAGGTCAGGTTCCAACCTTTTGAGTGATTACTTGATAAATTGATTATTATTTAAATTTAATTCTTACCTGATTCTAAAACCTTCCCCTTTGTTTATAAACTCAAAGAACTGGTGAAATTATTGTAATTTTTCTAATCAATGAGGCCAGGCCTAACTATTCGAATATAAAAGACTCTGGTATTTCTTTGCCGTGGTAGCGGCCGGGATAGCAACGCCTCAATAATTTCTACAACTAAAATGTTGCAAAAAGGCCTTAACTCTAGGCAATGAATACTTTAATAGTAAAAGAATATAAAAAACCCACTTAAAGTAAAAAACAATTAGCAACAATAAGCAAAGCAAAAGCATAAATAATATTTTGCAAATAATACATATTCTAACCCAAAAAAGTTAAAGAAAGCAAAGCCTAAACATAGCCAAAAATTGAAAAAAATACTTATAAATTTTTTTCGAAAATTATCAAGTAAGGATATAGAAATCTTTACTAAATCACGGATTTCGCAAAGCCAGCATACCTCATAATCCTTACATAAGTTTTCTTTTTATAGGTTCATCTTTGGTTGGATCAATAAAAAAAATTTTTTTTGATTATTTCTTTTATTAGGCGAATCATTTGTATTAGATGCAGCATATGTAAGTTTTTTTAACTACTTTTGATCGCAGCTATCTGCAGCACTTCATTTTTATCCTTTTGCCTTATGTATTTATTTTTTATTTAGTTTGGTTTTCATTTATTCATTTTGATCACCTTTTTTCTTTTGGCTTTTGGAACACATCAATATTATCAAATTGTATTTTTGATTTTATAATTTTGTATCAAAAAAGAAATTATATTATAATGCAATGCTGAAGATCTTTGGGCTACGTCTCAGACCTAATCTATAATAATCAATTGACGTTATCATAACTCGAGAATGGTTCACACAGTTAAATATTTGCTCAATGACAATTAATAATTACGTAAATGATAAATCATTTAAAAATATAAACTTTTACATTAGCATCTGATGTATCTGAAAATGTAGTCTAAATATTGTAAAATTTCTAAACATATACTTTAAAGTAAAGTCAATAAATACTATGAAAATTGTTATTTCAACAATATTAATTATCGGTAAAAGATTCTGTAGAAAAATCATGTTCATAATAATATAACATTAAAATAGATTTCCTTAACCAAGAATTATGATGATGTAATTAATCAATCTGAGTAAGCTTTCTAACGAATATTTAAATACCGGAAATATCAATTATTGATGTCTATCATTTCATTAAATTTAAAGTCGGTATTAGTTTATATTTAAATATTAAAATAATTCATTAAATTGTAATGAGCTAGAAATTTCTAATTCATGTAATCGAGAATCTTCGAATTTTAAAATGTATTAAAGTTAGTATTTATATTTTTATTATCGAAAATAAAATTTAGATAATACCTTCATTATTTTCATCTTTTTCAAGATATGAAGTAATTAGAGATGAATTAATAGGTTTTGTCAGATTTTTAAACGCAAATGCTCTACTTGTATATATAGCGTCAGGATTTGATTTACGTGAAATTATAATATTTGGTATGTCTTTATCAGCTTCTTCAAATGATTCGATTATTTCTTTTCCAAAATATCCATGTTCTTTATAATTCTCAACATTATATGTAATAGAATAATACCAAAATTTTAATATACTATTTAATTCATCGGACGTTGGTCGTTGATTTGGATTTGCATTCATACACCTATAAGCTAATTTCTTATAAAATTCAGGAGTTCCTTTTCCAAATTCAGGACGAAGTCCATTACAAATATCTAAGGCTAAAGACACATCATGATTTTTATCATAAAAGGGAGGATTTCCGGTTGAATATTCAGCCATAATTACACCAAAGCTGTAGATATCAGAAGATAAGGTATACAATTCTCCATTCAAAACTTCTGGAGCGATATATGGTAATACTCCATATATTTTGTCATTTGAATTTTGCTTATCTGCTGGTCCTGATAATCCAAAATCTGAAACGTAAGAAACATGTTCAGATTGCAATATATTTCCACTATGAAAATCTTTATGACAATATCCTAATTTTTGTAAATTAGTAAGGTCGCAAGAAATATAATACAAATTTTCAATTTTTTTTTCCCATAAAATATTGTTAAAATTATTTGAAAGAGTATTTCTCAAATTTCCGTTACATACAAATTGCACGATCATAATAAATTCTTTGGTTTCTGGATCCTTAGTTATTCCATAAAAATTTAATGGATTATTATTGATATTGGTATTAAAAAAATCCCAATGTACTTTAAGCTAGTTTTTGTAATATAATTTTAATTAAAATAAAAAAATTTTTATTTAATAAATAATCAAATGAAAATGTAAATACCTCATTAATATAATTGTCTGACATATTTTGTGATCCATTTAACCTTTTCAAAGCAACCTTCATAGGCTTAGGATCTAATTTTTTCCAACTGCCATCATTTTGTTTTTCAAATTCTGATTTACCATCAATCCATGTTGCAGAATACACTATGGCGAATCCTCCTTCACCAATTTCTTTCATATCTGTGAATCTATCAAAAGGCACCCATTCAAGAAATGTTGGATAAATTTTATTTTTATTAGTATCAGCATTATACATTGTATCTTTGATGAATTTATCAATATCAGAATTTCCACTAGTCCATCCTTCACAAGGGTCACATTCTTTACACCATAATTTCTCTGTAAATGGTTTACCACAATAAGAACATTTCTTATTTTCTGAGATATTTAATTTGTTGAATTCAGATTCTATTAAGTCTTGAGCTTCATTTACATCCATTATTTTTTTTTTAAAAAAAATAAAATTTTTTCTGTAATTGCAAATAAGGATATAAAAGGAATTATATGACCAAATTTGGATGGATCAACGGAAAATATTTTCCGAACGCAAATCAAATGATCGCATACTGCGGTAATTATTAATTTTGGCAAGTTCTATAACTATTCATATAAATATCATTATGTATTTTTGATTCATGTGTTGTTCTTTACCTTCTATACTTAATTCTTCTTCAATAATACTTTTATATCCTTATGTCAAAGTTCTAAGTATGGATAAATTGGGATACCAAATACAAAATATACTTTCTCGGTTTTTTTTTTTTTGAGTTCAAAGATATCAATGAACAAGGCATTTTCTATGTTTTAAAAAAATATATATTACATGAAAAGAGATATTATAAAACAATTTTAAGAAGACTAGCTTCCCTAAAAATGAAAATTTAAAAATTTGATGTAAATAAAAAAGTTAAAATTACACTTTATTGCCTTTGATTCACTTGCGATATAAGGCTAGGATTATTATATCGAATGCTCAGCAGGACTAATGTGTTTTTGAGATAATATTTTTTTCGGGGCTTCGACATCGGGATCATACCTTTTAGATTCCGAGCTTCGTAACTCATAAATAAGAATATAAATGATTTTCAAATTCTATCATTTATCGTTCTAGGATAAACAGCACATTGCAGCGATACAGATAGCGTTAACATAATAAAACTAACTTTATTTCTCGTAAAAATTAAAATTTTGGAGAATATATACCGGGGAGGATCATAATTACAAATTATCTATCTATTGCTTAAATAATTAATTTTGTTAATTGTTTGTTTAAGTATTGCATGTTGTTTAAAAACTCCTACCTTTTCAATTTGTCGCACGTAATATGCTTGTTAGTATTTTGTGTTTTACACATTTATAAAAATAAGAAATCATATATCATTTGTATGATGCGATGAATTTTGCAAAATAATAGGACTTTCTTAAAATAAGTTCTGCTATTAAAAAATAGATATATATTATAATTAAAAATCTCTCAATGCTGCAACCTACCGACTCTTTTTCAGAAGGCTGGGAGGTGATATATATTTTATTGATAATTTTATTTTAAACATTAAAACGAATTACAGATTTTTTTTCTTAACTCAACATTCCACAACCCGTCATTAGCGGGAGAAATAATTTAGATGGATATAGCAAAAGCAAAAAAAATTAAATAGAAAAAAATAATAAATAATACACCAAGCACGAAATAAGTCAACCAGAATTGGAAGCTAATCAAAAAACTCTACCCATCGCTAAGTATACAACTACCCTCAAAAATACCCCAAAAAATAGTTAAATAATATAAACTTTTTATATATTCATTCCGAAGTGGAATCAAAATAAAAGAAAATGGCGCAAGATTTTAAAATTATGATCGATTGGTCGCTTCGGCCCCAAAGCGACTGAACCCAGAACCTAAAAAACAAAGTATATAAATTTGAATAATAATAAAGTAATAATTACTTATCTTATGCTCTTAGAAACCGTCCGATCAGAATAGAAACCTAGAGAAGAAGGGTAATAGTTCCAAAACCTTAAACAAAAAAAAAAAGAAAATTTAAAAACAGACCACCTGATTTCTGCGCAACTATTTGATCTGAAGCGGAATCTAAAGAAAAAAAAGCGGCGAAAGATTTTTTTGGTTAATCACTTCAATCGGAAGCGCTCGCAATTTTTTTTAACTAATTAAAGTTTGGATTACAACTTAGTCAACTTTACCGATATTGCCAATTTTTTTTTTTTTAAAAAAAATTTCGTAGCTGTAATATTAAAGTTTCAATTGTTATATGAAAGATTCAGGCTTTTTTTTGCCTTAGAATAAACAATTTTCTTGATCTTTTGATGTTTGACCATTATTATTTCATGCATATTGCAAATGGATCTTGAACAAATTATTTGCGATAAATATTTAATTTATTTAATTTCACTTCGAATGTACTGAACATTACCAAAGATGCAATTTCTATATGTAAAATGTTACTATTATATAATTCACAATTAATACAAATATTAACATAAAAATAATATATGCATCAAGGATAGGTGAAAGAGAAAATAAAAAGAAGTTTTTTTTGCGCACATAACAACTTATGTTACACACGAAATTCTCTCGATCTTTGACTGCGCCAATATTGATCATCGCATGGAAAATATAATATATGTCAAATTAGTCATTTTGAAATCAGGATCAATTAAATCTTTATCCGTCATTCATCTACAATTATATTGATATTTTTTGTAGAAATCCATGGGAAGGTAATTTATAAAATGGTTACGTTTTGCTCGTTTTGCTCTTAGTTTTCGTTACGATTGAACATAATTGAATTAGGTAGTTCTATGCTCCTTAGGACTATTACAAAGCGCCGGTTGGGAGTAATTTGATTTTATTGTATTTTTTATAAACTTATTTCTTTTCTTCCTTTGTAAATTTATTTCATTTTTATTCTTATGTTGATCGATACGCGCCCAATATTCGTTCATCGATCATCGTTGCAAACGTTGGATGGTCTTCTTTCGTGATGCAATTTTTCATTCTTGTGGAAAATACAATTTTATGGTCCTTGATTTATGAAGTATATTGTAAAGTTACTGTTCATTTAGATATTATTAAAATGACTTAGTATTACAATAATTCGCGTGAAACATGTGGTACCAAAATGGAATGTCTTTAGTTACATTAACCTTTCCTGAATAATGTTATCAATCAATAAAAAAAGTATAGTAAAATTAGAAAATGAATGGTAGGTTGTCTTTAGATTATACTATTTATTGATTTTTTAAAACGACTTCCAGTCATCTCATTTAATTTGCTTTAATTGTGAATAGGCGAATGTTAAAGGTGAAAGGCTGATAAATTCACAAACAAATTGCAACTTTCAATATACCCTTAACTAAATAGAGAAATTGAACTAAACTTTCTTTCAATGGTTTGGATACAATATACGTTTTTATATATAATTGGGGTAGGTTATGTTCCTTGACTTCTTCTATTGAAAATATAAAATGTTTATGAAAAAATAAAAGAGTGAACAATAGCACCGTAATTAATCATGTGATATAATGAATACAAAAAAATGGATTATTTAATTATTGAATTTAAGAAAATAAATATTTTGGTTATTGGAATATGAATTACTATTAATGCACTCGTTGCAAAATTTTAAGGAATTGAATTGCCTTCCGTATTGGAATAAGTGTTTGGTAAGTGTTGAAATTTTTCAATCGAATACATGGTTCTGAACAAGATTTCGTTTACTATTTAAAAATAATGGATTAACAAAATGATTCATTTTATTATTTACTTTACCAAAAAACGAATTCATTTCTGCTTTATAATATTAATTTATGGTAGTGATCTTTGTTTGTTTCACATAGTTCATTTAGAACGTAGCACAATAGGAACGAGGTTTTGAATAACGTATGACTTTTTTACTTATTTATGCAATAATCAAATTGAATAAGGACAAAGTATTATTTGAATTTAAATATACTAGTTATTTTTTTATTTTTATTTACTGTATTTTATAAATACAAATAAAGTAATTTATATCTATTTTTAAAATTAAAAATGATATCGTTCTAATTCAGCAAGTTGGGTTTTTAATAAATAGCACGTTTGATGTAGATAATATTAAAGGATTTAGTCCGTGAGATCAGATATTAAAGAAATTGGTTCATAATGTAATAATATAAAAAATATCAATTTGTTTTATTCTTCTTAATGTTAAAGCAAATTTGAAATATTTTGCAAGGATTATTCATATTTCTTAAACATTTTATTGTTTTACTGTTACGCAAAAAAATGATCTTCAGAAATCATATAACTTTCCAAATATGAACAAGTTGCAGATGATCCTAAAATAGTAAACTTAAAATTAATTTTTTAAAAAAAAAAGAAATCGGAACATCCGTTTGAACACGAAGAACCAGGAGAAAAAGAAATGAAAATAATTAATCAAATAATGAAACAAAGAAAAGGCAGAATGTAAAACCCGACTTTCATATTATCTGAACCGATACAACCTATTTACTAAAAATTCTAGAATTATTTTTATTGCATTGCATCAATTTAACCATATTACGGAAGGACTCCTGAAAATCCTGAGAAAATTTGGGAAAATTTGGAACGTTTAAATTTTCCGGGTCTGGAAAAATTTAAATAAATTAAGTGCACAATATTGTTTCAATTATTATTGTTGTATAGATGACACAAAATTTTAGGCTAATAGCGCCAATGATAATGTCACATTAAAACAATATAAAATAAATTTCTTGCTTTCTCATCTTTTTGTTTCCATAAACTTTTCTTCTCCACTTTTTGCTTCCAATCATCTATTTTCTTTTTGCTTCTAAATCGTCAATTTTCTCCACTTTTTTCTTCCATTAGTCTTTTTTTTCTCCATTTTTTTATTTTTTCAACATTTTTTTGCTTCCAATCGTCTATTTTCGCTTCCAATCATCATTTTTTCCACTTTTTGCTTCCATTTATCTTGTCATTTGTTTTTCCATATCCCTTCTCTCATCTTTCTATAATGGAATGTAATAAAGTCTTTTCCGGGGATTGTCCCGAGATTACAACTTTCATCGTGAAATATCTTCGAAATGATTTAAATTCATTATATTCATGCGCTCTTGTAAATCGCCTTTTCTGTAAAATTACTATTCCCTTGCTTTGGGAAGATCCCTTTTTAGTTGCTAATCGTGGGGAATATTCACGTTCTTTATTAGATACTTATTTCTTATTTTTCGATGAACGAGATAGAATTCGATTAGAGGAATTAAATATTTCAATCCGAACATCATCATTTTCAAAACCATTTTTTAATTATCCAGAGTACATTAAATCAATAGATGGAAGCAAATTACTTTGGCACTTGGATAAATGGAAGGATGAACATTATAAGATCACGAGACCAAGTTATTCAAACATCGCAAAGTCAACCTTCTTACTTGAAAACGACAACATAATTATCTACTTACATGATAATTTGTTGGAGTCAACGGAAACAAAACAATCAGTTGGAATTTGTAGGATATTAATAGAATTATTCATAAAATATAATGTTTCATTGAATAATTTAAGAATGACGGTCGCATTTTTTTATAGTATGCAAGGAATTTTTTTGGATAACCTACATTTCATTTCAGACATTGAAAGTCTTCACATAGACTTTTTTACAGGTTTAAACAATGATTTACCCTTGTCTCCTTTATACTCAACTATAATGAATCTTAAAACCCTTAAATTGGAATCTATCGAAGCGTGCATAGCGTTTAATGTGTTAAGAAGGTTCAATAGATGTTATAATTCGTTGACATCCATTGAGTTCAACAATTGTAAATTTAACGAAAGCATATCATACAATGGATTTGATCAACTCACTCAGCTTCAATCGTTTCACCTCAATTATTGTGAAGGATTGACGGAAAAAATATTTGAAGCCTTACAAGATATTCCCGTCCTTTCAAATATTAGAACCTTGAGTGTTAGGGGTAAAATTATCACAGGATTAGACTTATTAATTCAAAGGATTGGTACAAATCTAGAACATGTCCATTTAGAACTTAATGGGTTTGTTGAGAGGGGAAAGGTATTTGAAAGTGTTGCAAATTACTGTGATAAGATCAAATATTTTTATTTCAATTGCTTTAATGATAGGAATATGAAAAGGATTCATAAAATTATAATCAATAATCGAAATCATCTTAAATACCTTTCATTTTATAATACCAATGCTCGCAGTCGAGCAAATTCGGAGATTTTACAAGAGTTGGGACAAATTTTACCAGATTCGATAGATTATTTGAACTTTGGCCTTTTTATTGATCCAAACGACTTGAATATTTTTTTGCAGAGTGTTAAAAATATTCAAATTAAGAAGCTATTAGTTACAAACTTTTCAAAGGAAATCGTCAGTATTTTTAATATTTTAAAAGAATTTGTAACCGAAAACAACATAAAAGATTTTTCTTATCAAGTTTCGGATATTTTTCGCCCCGAAAGTGTGAATCATCAAAATTTAGAAAACGAAATTCGTATTTTTGCTAAAATGAAGTTCTTTAATGATATAGTTGTTAATATTACAGATTTCTGATGTATTTACTTGTTCATAATTTTTCACAATTTATTATTTTAATTACTTAATATATACCAATTATTAATAAAAGTTATGACATGTTTATTTGTACATTTTGTCTCTGAACGTCATCCAACTCATCCAACAAATAATATTTACGAATTTTTAGTGGTTAAACAAAATTAAGGGAAGCCAAGTTTTAGGAGTAACCGAGCAAAAAAAATAATCTTCCCAATCAAAATATGATAATTTGCAAATGGTAAACCTCAAAATCCTAAGTTTCGGACATCGCTTTGAAGGTGCTATTTTACTATTGACCGTAGGCATCTAACAAGTAGAGCATGGAACTTGAGGAAGGAAATAATTAATAAATTTATAAAATTAAAAAATAGAAACACAGATTAACTTTTGTTAATTTGATATTTTGAACCGCCGAATAAATCGTACGATACGGCTAAAGCAGATCATGTTTATTTATTTCTAGTATTAGTAATGATTTTTTTTAAATAATTACATCCTGCTAAATTTCGTGATTTTGTCTCATAAAATATAATATAAAGGAAACAAACCGCCTAAACTTTAATATTAACACTCCGGTCTATCAAATGAACCATACCAAATATTTTGATTCAATGTTTTGTCGCCGTGTGCGCAGCCTTCTTATCTTTACAGACAATTCCAACTTTGACTATCTTTATTGTGTTCCTTAATTTGGTAGTTATCTAATATTATTATCAAACAAATTCCGCGAACAATAATAGGATGTCGTAATTTTATTTACTTCGCAGTTAACTTAACTAAACTTACTGTTAGCAAGTAAGAATTGTTAACTTTATGACGTACTATTTAAACTTAACAGTACAATTTTCAATTCATTGGACTTTAGATCATCTTATTTCAAACATTTTATAACTTACAACACAGTTATATTGTTTTTTAACATACATAAATTAGCAGGAATTTTATGAGTATTGTAAACAATTATATATTTAAAATATGCTGTAGTTGCTTACAGTTTTATTAGTAAGTTACTGATGTGATATTATTCATTTATTTTTTAAAATAAAGTATTTTTTTTAGCTTCTTGTATAAAATGAAAATCTATATATATTCCAATAAAAAGGGTTTATTTATTTTTATTTAGTTTCTCATCAATTCACAAAAATAAAAAAAAAATTATGTTACTTTCGTCATAATAATGTTATTTTATACAATATTTTAAAGTTATTCACAAATTTGGACACAAGTACATGTGAAATTAATATAATTAATATTATTTTTTTATTCTAAAGATCATACAAATGTAATTCATATGAGAAGTTTATATTATAGGAAAGAATATTTGTATTTGTTTAAGCAATAAATTCATTTATTTCACCCTTAATACTTTGATTGTTTTGATTTGATATCGAAGAGAATAATAATACCTTAAAACTTCAGAAATTCCAAGATAAAAATAGACTATTATATTAGGTAATAGACTAACGGCATTTTAGGTGCACTTAGGTAGATTAAAACTGTGAAAAAAGTGAGTTGGAAACGATTCGTGACCTACTCTCCAGTAGTTTGCCTAGCATGTTTTTGTGGATAAAGGTATACTGATTCTAGAGGAGGGATTTGTTACCTTTGCAAAATAAAACTAAAATATGAAGTGCGTGAATAACCTCTTTATTTGTATTGTTAATTATTTATTACTTTAATTTACATCTTTTGAAGAATTTATTCTTAATAATCCATTATGACTCATTATATTGTAACTTAATGGAGGGAGATATCATTACCTAGCTTTAGCAAGTGTCTTTTTTTTCCTTTTGTTTTATTTATCTATATAGCGGCTTAATTAGATTATACTCGAAAGGGTAAGCCAAAAACACAGAAGATGCAGTGCCCATATTTTAACAAAAGTCAATCAATCTTCTTGTGTCAGTAAAAAAATGTAGCGAGCATTTAAAGTTGCAATTAAATTCAAATGATTTCTATGTCTCGAAACTTGATTTTAACAACATCCATATCACTTCATTACTGTCAAAAAGAGAAATTCCAAAATTCATCAGTTAAGAAACAAAATCATCAGCAGGATTTTGAGAGTGAACAAGAATTATCATTTTAAAATTGATAGACTCAATAATGCGGTCTGAAGTTTAACCTTTGAAATTATTATTAATTAAAGCGTTGCTATATACTATACAGTATCTCGTGACTTGATTTGTTCCCAAATATCTCAAATCGGTTCGAGATATAAAATTGAAGCCAGATAATAAATCATAAATTAACGGGATGATAGAAGTAAGTATATCAAGATATCGTTACGTTTTCTTTTAACGAACAACTTTTTTGATAGGAGTTTCAGGAGTTTCAAAAATTTTTGCGAGATGTTGGCCAATTTTTGTTAATTTTTCGTAAAATGAGATGTCTAGATTTATTAATTAATTTATCAAGAAAAAATAATATTTTAAGTAAGTGTTGGAATGTTGTATTGAAGGTAAAATCTAAAGTTAGATAAATAATAACAAAATTGCATTGCTAAGTTTAAATGGCTAATATCTTTCCTGAATCGTCTTGTGAATTAAATTATTACTATATTTTTTTTTTCTAGTAACTAGATAAATTAATTATTATTTAAGACATAATATGATTGATTAAATATTTATGGTAGATAATCTTTAATTCAAAGCATTATATTATTACCATTAGAAATTTCATTTGGGTAAAATTGGTAAGTTGTTAATTTGTGTATTAGGTCAATAGAGTTCCAACACCGTGTTGGGCAAAGCTGGTAAGCTGTTTATTTGTGTACTAGAGCAATAGAATTCCGTTAAGCTGGTTAATTTAGTATAATTACGAGCATTATTAAGCAATCAGGTAAATTTTGTAAGTTAGTAACTTGAGTACAATAACAATAGAGTTTTTTTAAGGAGTTGGGTGGTATTTGAGCAATTGAGCTTTGTTGGGTTATTTGAGTATTGTTGCAATCTTCCGAGATGATTAATATGTCGGAATCTGTAATAGTTAAACTATCAAAAGTATCATCATTAATAGTTAATTTAAGATTTCTGATTCTCTTTTCTATAATTTCTTACTTTTGATCGTTCTCCAAAGTTCACTTCATAAATATTATAAATATTAACAATTTCTTGCTTGGCTATGGTTTCTTCTCTAACTTTTTCTTTTAAATCATTAGTTATTTTCTTGCTTGACTTTGGTTTCTTCTTCTCGCACTCTAACCTATTCTTTTAAATATTTGAATTGTGAGCGAAACACTTCGTTACTTTGCTCCAATTCCTTGATTTTCGTTTCAAAAGTGAGTTCTAAATTTTCTTTAAAACCATTTTTTTTCTATTTGTTTTTTGACATTCTGAACGAGTGATAGAAATAAATTTTTAATAATGAGAGAAAAAAAAAATAGTGGGTATAAGATAATTTTTATATAAATGATGAAATAATATGACGAGATTTATGCTTTATTTTTTTTAATTTGCACAGAAATTTACCAAATAGAAAATTTTCTTTTACTCAGAACTAACTGTTTTCTTGGTTATCAAAAAAAAAAATTAGTTTATATTATATATCCAATCCAATCGCCCGCATAAGAACTTTTCCTTGATTTTATAAAAACTTCAAAATAAACGAAAATAATTAACCTTTACAGAGAATTCTCATTAAGTTAATAACAAAATATCTTAATAAATAAATAATTAAATTAATTAAGGATAACAATAAAAATAAAAAAATTAACCTATACGTCCCACTCGTCAAAAGAAATAATAAATTAAAAAATTTAATTGCTCCCAAAAAATAATAATAAAATTTTGAAGTTTTTAAAAAAAAAAGATTAGTAAAAATAAAAAATAAAGTCGTCTTATCGAAACAATCCGATAAAAACAAAAACTAGAGTCATAATTACAAGTCATAAATACTAATAGACCAATCATATTAATAATTTAATTTAACACCGTAATAATTAAATAAAATTTAATTATTATTGTTCGTGTCTCATTTTTATATATATATATGGCTGGCATATTCTTTTTGTCAAAAAGATAAATTTTTTTTGAATTTAGTTTTCGAAAATATCCCCTAATCTGGTTATATTGAGAATATAAAAAAGATAAAACATTTTTAGAATGTTAATCGAATGGTTTCTTTTTAAATTTTGGAATTGGTGCTTTCCATTTCTCTTTCGATTGATTATTTTCAAGTGCTAGGTAATGATTTCTCTTTAGTTTTATGTTGATTATTGTTTTTATTTTAGAAATTCTAAATTATTACATGATATATTTTTATCTTTAGATTATTATTTAATATACTGTATACATGATAAATTTTGACGTTTTTTTGTCGAATATAAATAAATAACATTCTAACTACATACCAAATATCTATTTGAATTTCAGTTGAAAGTAATAATAGATTTAGTTGACAATTATTTAATTGCAAATTTATTTAGCTTTTTAATATTAGTGGCAGCAGGATTTTTATTAAATAAAGAAAACAACTAAACACAAAATGAATTTATTTTTTACTTTCTCAACTTGCACAATAGATAAATGTTCAAAAAATGTAAAATTCCCCGATTAGTTAATCATCTAAACATATAAAAAAATAATAATAATAAAAGGATTATAATGATTATTAAAAGTATTTTTAAATTTTCCAGATGAAGGAATAAAATTGATTCTGCGAACTTTCTCCTAGATGCCTTGACAATATTGAGGAATATACGACAAGATTAGGAGCCTTAACAACGCTCTTTGCGAAGATATCACAGATCTATGTCTTAAAAAATTTTCAAACGTCAAAGAAAAGATCAATATTTGAAAACGCAAACGAAGACATCTTATGAAACTATTTAATGAGATCATTCACCCCTAATGATTCATTATTACTCTGTATGGAACTAAAGTTTTCAAAATTGGGTATTAATAAATTTAATTATGAAGTAATCACATCAGTATATGAATCATTTAAAGGTATATTAGGTAAAGTATTCCCGGTGTTACGCCTGGAATTCTACACAATCTTAGGATACTAACAAACAAATAATAACCGAAGGCCTTTCCTATTTGCTTTGAGTCATGCTGATATATTTTATATTTTAATAATGTAACTTACTAGTTTTAGAATTGTGTGACCTTCGTGAGTAAATGAACAATTATGTCCTTAAACTTCGTGGTTATTTTATTAATTTTTCTTTAAGCACTCATCATGTGATAGTGCATCGTACCCCCTTCCCTCCCTTAAAGGCGTAAAAAAAAGTAAAATATTTCCTTCCACTTTGTTCTTCCTACGATCAAACTAGCGAAAAACGATGCGGTGAGTATTATTTCATAGTTTTATGATTCAATGACGGATTAGGCCTGAGATCTCCTGAATTGCCTATGGCCTGGGAGACAGACATCCTGAATTGCTGATTATATGTCATCATAATTGCATCATAAATTGATTATTGGATACTACTATGATTTAATGACGGATTGAGGCCTGGGATCTCCTGAATTGCTAATGATGTTTTATCGTTGTTGCATTTTTTTTTGTATTCATACATACTTACTCGACCGAGTGATCATAGGTTAACCTCACTTTCTTAATATGATAATAGGTTAATCGTACGAAGTGGATATTAACTATGATACTTTTAGCAGAATTTCTTAAAGATGCGTTTAAGAGATGGGATAGTGAAAATCAACCATCGTATGACTATGTTTAATGATATTTACCAAGACCTAATTATGGATAAAATTTAATCAAAAAAAGTTGTATATTTTACTTGAGCACGAAACTTCCAGATTCCATATCTCGCCTTAAAGATGAAATTTATTCTCAAAAAACGAAATGAATATAAACGATCAAGGAAGCTAAAAAATTATCATACGATTTTTAATAAACTTCCGATATATACAAACAAATCTTTATTTTACGTAGAAGAATAAATATTTTTTTTTATTGCAGGATAGACAGTGAAAGGGTGTATTTTATTTGAAATTAGCAATTTAAAGACTGACGCAAAGGAAGAGAGAAAATTGGCTCGACAAAAATGCTAAATTCAGTTGATAAGGGCTATTAAACCATGTTCGTTCCCAATACTAGATGCGTGCTTTATTGGACATAGGATTTTCTTAATTATGAAGCAAAAAAATATTTACAATTTGAAATATCCGGCGTGAATATCACCCGATTACTTGGTAGAATTTAAATAAATATGTCAGTTTGTCAATTAAAATCAGGTTACAAGTGAATCATACATATGATTTGAATATTGTTTATTTAATAGCAAACCTCTATAGAAATATTTAACGTATTTATAAGAGCTGATTTTATTTTTGAATTTACATATAATATGCGCATATATATCTTACAACGCAGATCACTCGTGTCACAAACTCCCTAATTCGAAACATTTATTAATTAATTCATGTCGATCTGTACGACATACATCCCAACTAAGCGAAAAAGTTAGTAAATTTAGTAATGATCTGATCACTACCAATTTTTCACTCAACCACATTAAACTGCAAATCCTAGTCCTAATTTTTATAAGACCGCAGTCCTATTTTTCAAAGTATCACGTTACTATATTTAATTTCTGCAAAGAATAATGGTACACTCAAATCTGAACTTTCTAATTTAAAGGAAAATTTATGATTAGTGAACAGAAAAATGTAAAATAATCCAATAAAGGGATATAAGGAAAGTCAGAAGATGTAATTACTATGCAAAATTCTTTAAATTTGAGTGCTGCTATGCTATAAGTTAAAACCAAATATTACCTAACTATTTCCTAAAAAAAAATAAATTAAGGATCTTTAAATGTTAAATAAAATAAAAACAATAAAAAATCTTATAAAGCAAATATTCGCACGAAAAAATAACAAACCTGTCATTGCTCACTTTTATCAAACATAAAAATAGATTCTAACGCAAATGGAAATTCCATTTGGTGCGTATTGAACTTTTAAGAGATAATGAAGTTAAAAAATTAATATGATGTATCCTATGGAAATTTGCTTGTATAAGTTTTTCAAGCACATTCAATCTATAAAATATATCTTTGAGAATTGGATCAAAGCTACCTTCATAAATAAAACAAAGTTTGACATTAATAAGGAGAAATTGATCACAATTAGCATTTTTAGACTTTTATTTATTAAATTCAAATATTATTGTTATATTAAGGATTTTGCCCAAAACTTAGTTCAATAATTATGTTTATCTTTTACGAAATGTTTTTTCAACATACCTTTAGTCTTTTCTATCTTTCCTTTATTTTATTATTTTGTTCGTGATGAATCAGTTCGATCTTCTTTAATAGTATTTTATTTTTAATATTATATTCATTAATAATTTTTAATTTTAAAAACTTACTTTTTTGTTTATCTTTTGTTAGAAGATTTCAAGCTGCAAGGTAAATTTTTTTTGATTCTTAAATTATTCCCCCCCCTTTTTAGACTATTTCTTACGGTTTCAATCATTTCAATTTAGTATTTTTTTTTTATATTTAATTTTTTTTGTGTTTTCATTTTATAGGATTCGATTGTCAGCGCGCCTTTTCTTGGATTGGATAGTTAACGGAGTGCCAGATTGAAATACGTTTTATTTTAATTTTTATGGTTAGATTGTTTTGCGCGCACTAAAAAATTTCAATTTTATTGAGTCACTAGGTTCCTCTGGATAAAAAAAAAAATTTTTTTTCTATCTATTATTAGGCGAATCTATTGAGTTAGATGCATATATAGGCAAACTTTATGTTTAACTTTATTTTTCAACTATTTCTAGTCGTAACAAAATTGCAGCAATTAATATAGCTTTTTTTATTTTTTAGCTCAAATTTTGGGATGGCTTATTTCGTAATTAAGAACGTATAATATATATATTTATCGCAAGCCCTATAGGGTTGTTTGATTTTTTATACTATATAATATTTAGCATCAATAGCTAATCATCGTACAATATTGAATATTAGTAGATTATTTGCGTTCAATATTGCATTTTATATAGTTAAAGAATAAAAATATTTATTTTTATATTAATATCCACAATAATTAGCCTTTCTTAAATACACTATAAAAAATATTCAAAAGTATTAATTACTTAGTTATAATTAGTATCGATATATTGACCTTTGTAGTAATTAATTAATTTGAAAATAAGAGATAGCATAGCTTCACTTTAATATTTAAAAAATATCATCACAGTTTGCGTTATAAGAAGTTGGAATTAGCCACGTAAAAAAAAATGTAAATTATTAACATAAGGTAATAACATTCTTCTATCATTTCTTTTATTATATTCCTACTGCGGAATAAGAATTTTAACTAAACTTTGCATTGGATAGCAGAAAATATTATTTTCTAGAGATTTAGAAATAAATAATATATTAAGAATTTTTTTTATAAATGCTTTTATTTCGCATTGCATATTGGTTTGATATAATGTTAAAGAATAATAGAAATTAAGAAAAAGAATTGTTAGGACTTTGTACCGTAGCAATCATAATTTTTCGAATTTTTTTGTTTAGGCTTTTGGATCACCTCAAGAAATATTAAAATGTACTGTATGTCACAGGATTTTTTCAGGCATAATGATCTTAACAACGTGACGTTGAGAATTGAATCACGCGGTTAAATATTTGCTTAATCATTTAAAATATTCTAAAAATACGTATTTTATAAACAAATCTAAGTATAAATTATTTAAATATATAAACTTTTACATAATCATCAGGCGTTTCTGAAAATGTAGTCTAAATATTGTTAAACGGCAACCAAGATATACTTTAAAATTAATACTACGAGAACTCTTAACAATACTAATAACCGGTACAAGATTATCTGTAACCTCAAGGTAGAAAAGCGTCATTTCCATAATATTATCAGAGAATTCCTTAACAAAAATTATACTGATGTAATTAATTAACAAACTTCTCATGAGCAAATACTAATATCGGAAATATCAAAACCTTCAATTATTGACATCTATAATTATATATAAAATTGGTATTAGTTTAATTTAAATATTTCATTATCTCTCATCTTTAATTACCTTTTAATTGTAATGAGCTAGAAATTTCTAATTCATGTAATTGAGAATCTTGAAACAATTAAAATGCATAAAGTTAATATTTATATTTATATAATCGAAAATAAAATTTAGATAATACCTTCATTATTTTCATCCTTTTCAAGATATGAAGTAATAAGAGAAGAATTGATAGGTTTTGACAAATTTTTAAACGCAAATGCTCTACTCATATATACCGCATCAGGATTTGTTTTACGTGAAATTGAAATATTTGGAATATCTTTATCGGCTTCTTCAAATGCTTCTTTTATTTGTTTTCCATAATATCCATGTTCTTTAGTATCTTTATAATTCGCATCATAATTATAAACAGAATAAAACCAAAATTCTAATATTTGTTTCAATTCTTCAGCTGTTGGTCGTTGATTTGAATTTGCATTCATACAACTATAAGCCAATTTTTTATAAAATTCAGGAGTACCTTTTCCAAATTCTGGACGAAGTCCATTACAAATATCTAAGGCTAAAGACACGTCATGTTTTCTATCATAAAAGGGAGGGTTTCCAGTTGATAATTCAGCCATAATTACAC